TCGACACGAGCTTTGAAGGACATCCTGGCTATGACTACCGTTTCTGTGTGCTGTCATCTATAACAGTGTGACTAGCTACTCGAGACCACTTGGAGTTGGGGTGAGCGATTACATTTACCACTTGATTGATTCCTGCCGCAATAAGCAGATATGTTGAGAGATTAAACAAAGCTATGTAGTCGTCAGATGAGAGCATAGGTTCCAGGTTTCCTCCGGGAGATGCCAGCGCTCTTTTGCTCCACTTTGATGGACTTCCTGCATATAAGCAGGTCCCTAAAATGCCATTGTAATTGCTATGGGCTACAAAAGGTGACTGAAGGCTGTGAAAAGGGAGATGCGTGAGAAATTGTCATTGTGACGTGATTTTTAGTCCTCTTCAGCTGTACTTATCATCAAACCCACACCATGGTTACACAGTGCTCCAAACATTGTGAGGTTGCCTGAGTATTGGACTGGGCAGTCTGATTGTTATACTCCTAGCAAGCTCAGAGCACAGACAATATTTGGACTTGACACGAGCTTTGAAGGACATCCTGGCTATGATACCGATTCTGTGTGCTGGTCATCTATAACAGTGTGACTAGCTACTCGAGACACCAGCATGGAGTTGGGGTGAGCGATTACATTTACACTTGATTGCTCCTGGCACTTTCATGGACTTCCTGCATATAAGCCAGGTCCCTAAATGCCATTGGTAATTGCTATTGGGCTACAAAAGGTGACCTGAAGGCTGTGAAAGGAGATGCGTGAGGACTTAGCATTCAAGCGGACATGTCGCAAAAGAGATTATCCTCAGCAGAAAGAGAACCACCACTTGTTTCGCCCGGTCTCGAACCGGGGACCTTTCGCGTGTGAGGCGAACGTGATAACCGTACACACGGAAACTGACGAAAGGCTTCTTGAGGTCATTCGTCACGCGACCGGGGTTCGATTCCCGACGGGAGAAATATTCTTTCTACCAGCATCCCATTACTTGCCACCTAAGGAAGGTGCTTCACTATCCCTACTCTCAGCTGAGGTGAGGTGAGGAAAAGTTAACTCTGTACCTCGAAGGAGGAAATTAAGGAAATGGGCCAAGGAGAAAATTCATACATGGTAGAATAAAGAAATGAGAAATTGGCATTGTGACAGTGAATATTTTAGTCCCTCTCAGCTGTATTATCATCAAACCCACACCATGGTTGACACAGTGCTCAAACATTGTGAGGTTGCCTGAGTATTCGATTCCCGACGGGGAGAAATATTCTTTCTACAACAGTCCCATACTTGCTAAGGAAGGTGCTTCACGCTAGCCCTACTCTCTAGCTGAGGTGAGAAAGTTAACTCTCTGTACCTCGAAGGAGGAAAATTAGGAAACGGGCCAAGGAGAGAAATTCATACATGGTAGATAAAAGAAAATGAGAAATTGGCATTGTGACAGTGAATTTTTTAGTCCCTCTCAGTGTACTTATCATCAAAACCACACCATGGTTGACACAGTGCTCCAAACATTGTGAGGTTGCCTGATATTGGACTGGGCACAGTCTGATTGTTATACTCCTAGCAAGCTCAGAGCGACAGACAATATTTGGACCTCGACACGAGCTTTGAAGGACATCTGGCTATGACTACCGTTCTGTGTGCTGGTCATCTATAACAGTGTGACTAGCTACTCGAGACACCAGCATGGAGTTGGGGTGGAGCGATTACATTTACACTTGATTGCTCCTGCGCAATAAGCAGATATGTTCTGAGAGATAACACAAAGCTATGTAGTCGTCAGATGAGAGCATAGGTTCCAGGTTTGCCTCCGGAGATGCCAGCGCCTCTTTTGCTCTCAACTTGATGGACTTCTGCATATAAGCAGGTCCTAAAATGGCATTGGTAATTGCTATTGGCTACAAAGGTGACCTGAAGGCGTGAAAAGGGAGATGCGTGAGAAATGTCATTGTGACAGTGAATTTTTTAGTCCCTCTCAGCTGTACTTATCATCAAACCCACATGGTTGACACAGTGCTCCAAACATTGTGAGGTTGCTGAGTATTGGACTGGGCACAGTCTGATTGTTATACTCTAGCAAGCTCAGAGCAAGACAATATTTCTGGACCTTGACACGAGCTTTGAAGGACATCCTGGCTATGACTACCGATTCTGTGTGCTGGTCATCTATACAGTGTGACTAGCTACTCGAGACACCAGCATGGAGTTGGGGTGAAGCGATTACATTTACACTTGATTGCTCCTGGCACTTTCATGGACTTCCTGCATATAAGCAGGTCCCTAAAATGCCATTGGTAATATTGGGCTACAAAAGGTGACCTGAAGGCTGTGAAAAGGGAGATGCGTGAGGACTTAGCATTCAAGCGGACATGTCCGCCAAAAGAGATTATCCTCAGCAGAAGAGAACACCACTTGTTTCCGCCGGTCTCGAACCGGGGACCTTTCGCGTGTGAGGCAACGTGATAACACTACACTACGGAAACTGACGAAAGGCTTCTTGAGGTCATTCGTCACGCGGAAGACCGGGTTCGATTCCACGACGGGGAGAAATATTCTTTCTACAGCAGTCCATTACTTGCCACTCTAAGGAAGGTGCTTCACGCTATCCTACTCTCTAGCTGAGGTGAGGAGGAAAAGTTAACTCTCTGTACTCGAAGGAGGAAAATTAAGGAAATGGGCCAAGGAGAGAAATTCATACATGGTAGATAAAGAAAATGAGAAATTGGCATTGTGACAGTGAATATTTTAGTCCTCTCAGCTGTACTTATCATCAAACCCACACCATGGTTACACAGTGCTCCAAACATTGTGAGGTTGCCTGAGTATCGATTCCCAGACGGGGAGAAATATTCTTTCTACCAACAGTCCATTACTTGCCACCTAAGGAAGGTGCTTCACGCTAGCCTACTCTCTAGCTGAGGTGAGGAAAAGTTAACTCTCTGTACCTCGAAGGAGGAAAAATTAAGGAACGGGCAAGGAGAAATATCATGGTAGATAAAGAAAATGAGAAATTGGCATTGTGACAGTGAATTTTTTTAGTCCCTCTCAGCTGTACTTATCATCAAAACCCCACACCATGGTTGACACAGTGCTCAAACATTGTGAGGTTGCCTGAGTATTGGACTGGGCACAGTCTGATTGTTATACTCCTAGCAAGCTCAGAGCGACAGACAATATTTTGGACCTCGACACGAGCTTTGAAGGACATCCTGGCTATGACTACGTTCCGTGTGCTGGTCATCTATAACAGTGTGACTAGCTACTCGAGACACCAGCATGGAGTTGGGGTGGAGCGATTACATTTACCACTTGATTGCTCCCTGCCGCAATAAGCAGATATGTTCTGAGAGATTAACACAAAGCTATGTAGTCGTCAGATGAGAGCATAGGTTCCAGGTTTGCCTCCGGGAGATGCCCAGCACCTCTTTTGCTCTCAACTTTGATGGACTTCCTGCATATAAAGGTCCCTAAAATGCCATTGGTAATTGCTATTGGGCTACAAAAGGTGACCTGAAGGCCTGTGAAAAGGAGATGCGTGAGGACTTAGCATTCAAGCGGACATGTCCGCCAAAGGAGATTATCCTCAGCAGAAAGAAACCACCACTTGTTTCCGGTCTCGAACCGGGGACCTTTCGCGTGTGAGGCGAACGTGATACACTACGGAATGACAAAAGGCTTTCGTGGTCAATCGTCAGGTAGTCGACCCGACCCGAAGTTGGACAGGCTTTCCTCAGTTCAGACCATCAGCCCGTTCACAACCCAAAGTACACCACAGAAGTCCTTGTATGTGGACAGTATCTCCGTGTCACGCGGAGACCGGGGCGATTCCCGACGGGAGAAATATTCTTTCTACAGCAGTCCCATTACTTGCCACCTAAGGAAGGTGCTTCACGCTAGCCTACTCTCTAGCTGAGGTGAGGTGAGGAAAAGTTAACTCTCTGTACCTCGAAGAGGAAAAATTAAGGAAATGGGCCAAGGAGAGAAATTCATACATGGTAGATAAAAGAAAATGAGAAATTGCATTGTGACAGTGAATTTTTTAGTCCCTCTCAGCTGTACTTATCATCAAACCCCACACCATGGTTGACACAGTGCTCCAAACATTGTGAGGTTGCCTGAGTATTGGACTGGGCACAGTCTGATTGTTATACTCCTAGCAAGCTCAGAGCGACAGACATATTTCTGGACCTCGACACGAGCTTTGAAGGACATCCTGGCTATGACTACCGTTTCTGTGTGCTGGTCATCTATAACAGTGTGACTAGCTATCGAGACACAGCTGGAGTTGGGGTGGAGCGATTACATTTACCACTTGATTGCTCCCTGCCGCAATAAGCAGATATGTTCTGAGAGATTAACACAGCTATGTAGTCGTCAGATGGAGCATAGGTTCCAGGTTTGCCTCCGGGAGATGCCCAGCGCTCTTTTGCTCTCAACTTTGATGACTTCCTGCATATAAGCCAGGTCCCTAAAATGCCATTGGTAATTGCTATTGGGCTACAAAAGGTGACCTGAAGGCCTGTGAAAAGGGAGATGCGTGAGAAATTGTCATTGTGACAGTGAATTTTTTAGTCCTCTCAGCTGTACTTATCATCAACCCACACCATGGTTGACACAGTGCTCCAAACATTGTGAGGTTGCTGAGTATTGGACTGGGCACAGTCTGATTGTTATACTCCTAGCAAGCTCAGAGCGACAGACAATATTTCTGGACCTTGACACGAGCTTTGAAGGACATCCTGGCTATGACTACCGATTCTGTGTGCTGTCATCTATAACAGTGTGACTAGCTACTCGAGACACAGCATGGAGTTGGGGTGAAGCGATTACATTTACACTTGATTGCTCCCTGGCATTTCATGGACTTCTGCATATAAGCAGGTCCCTAAAATGCCATTGGTAATTGCTATTGGGCTACAAAAGGTGACCTGAAGGCCTGTGAAAAGGGAGATGCGTGAGGACTTAGCATTCAAGCGGACATGTCGCAAAAGAGATTATCCTCAGCAGAGAGAACCACCACTTGTTTCCGCGGTCTCGAACCGGGGACCTTTCGCGTGTGAGGCGAACGTGATAACCACTACACTACGGAAACTGACGAAAGGCTTCTTGAGGTCATTCGTCACGCGGAAGACGGGGTTCGATTCCCCGACGGGGAGAAATTCTTTCTACCAGCAGTCCATTACTTGCACCTAAGGAAGGTGCTTCACGCTATCCCTACTCTCTAGCTGAGGTGAGGTGAGGAAAAGTTAACTCTCTGTACTCGAAGGAGGAAAAATTAAGGAAATGGGCCAAGGAGAGAAATTCATACATGGTAGATAAAAGAAAATGAGAAATTGGCATTGTGACAGTGAATATTTTAGTCCCTCTCAGCTGTACTTATCATCAAACCCCACACATGGTTGACACAGTGCTCCAAACATTGTGAGGTTGCTGAGTATCGATTCCAGACGGGGAGAAATATTCTTTCTACAACAGTCCATTACTTGCACTAAGGAAGGTGCTTCACGCTAGCCCTACTCTCTAGCTGAGGTGAGGAAAAGTTAACTCTCTGTACCTCGAAGGAGGAAAAATTAAGGAAACGGGGCCAAGGAGAGAAATTCATACATGGTAGATAAAAGAAATGAGAAATTGGCATTGTGACAGTGAATTTTTTAGTCCTCTCAGCTGTACTTATATCAAACCCACACCATGGTTGACACAGTGCTCCAACATTGTGAGGTTGCCTGAGTATTGGACTGGGCACAGTCTGATTGTTATACTCTAGCAAGCTCAGAGCGACAGACAATATTTCTGGACCTCGACACGAGCTTTGAAGGACATCCTGGCTATGACTACCGTTTTGTGTGCTGGTCATCTATAACAGTGTGACTAGCTACTCGAGACACCAGCATGGAGTTGGGGTGGAGCGATTACATTTACCACTTGATTGCTCCTGCCGCAATAGAGCAGATATGTTCTGAGAGATTAACACAAAGCTATGTAGTCGTCAGATGAGAGCATAGGTTCAGGTTTGCCTCCGGGAGATGCCCGCACTCTTTTGCTCTCAACTTTGATGGACTTCCTGCATATAAGCAGGTCCCTAAAATGCATTGGTAATTGCTATTGGGTACAAAAGGTGACTGAAGGCCTGTGAAAAGGGAGATGCGTGAGGACTTAGCATTCAAGCGGACATGTCGCAAAGGAGATTATCCTCAGCAGAAAGACAACCACTTGTTTCGCCCGGTCTCGAACCGGGGACCTTTCGCGTGTGAGGCGAACGTGATAACCACTAACACTACGGAAACTGACAAAAGGCTTTTCGTGGTCAATCGTCAGGTAGTCGACCGACCCGAAGTTGGACAGGCTTTCCTCAGGTTCAGACATCAGCCGTTCACAACCCAAAGTGACACCACAGAAGTCCTTAGTATAGTGGACAGTATCTCCGCTGTCACGCGGAAGACCGGGGTTCGATTCCCGAGCGGAGAAATATTCTTCTACAGCAGTCCATTACTTGCCACCTAAGGAAGGTGCTTCACGCTAGCCCTACTCTCTAGCTGAGGTGAGGTGAGGAAAAGTTAACTCTCTGTACCTCGAAGGAGGAAAAATTAAGGAAGGGCCAAGGAGAGAAATTCATACATGGTAGATAAAGAAAATGAGAAATTGGCATTGTGACAGTGAATTTTTAGTCCTCTCAGCTGTACTTATCATCAAACCCACACCATGGTTGACACAGTGCTCCAAACATTGTGAGGTTGCCTGAGTATTGGACTGGGCACGTCTGATTGTTATACTCCTAGCAAGCTCAGAGCGACAGACAATTTCTGGACCTCGACACGAGCTTTGAAGGACATCCTGGCTATGACTACGTTTCTGTGTGCTGGTCATCTATAACAGTGTGACTAGCTACTCGAGACACCAGCTTGGAGTTGGGGTGGAGCGATTACATTTACCACTTGATTGATCTGCCGCAATAAGCAGATATGTTCTGAGAGATTAACACAAAGCTATGTAGTCGTCAGATGAGAGCATAGGTTCCAGGTTTGCCTCCGGGAGATGCCCAGCGCCTCTTTTGCTCTCAACTTTGATGGACTTCCTGCATATAAGCCAGGTCCCTAAAATGCATTGGTAATGCTATTGGGCTACAAAAGGTGACTGAAGGCCTGTGAAAAGGGAGATGCGTGAGAAATTGTATTGTGACAGTGAATTTTTTAGTCCTCTCAGCTGTACTTATCATCAAACCCCACACCATGGTTGAACAGTGCTCCAAACATTGTGAGGTTGCCTGAGTATTGGACTGGGCACAGTCTGATTGTTATACTCTAGCAAGCTCAGAGCGACAGACAATATTTCTGGACTTGACACGAGCTTTGAAGGACATCCTGGCTATGACTACCGATTCTGTGTGCTGGTCATCTATAACAGTGTGACTAGTACTCGAGACACCAGCATGGAGTTGGGGTGAAGCGATTACATTTACCACTTGATTGCTCCTGGCACTTTCATGGACTTCCTGCATATAAGCCAGGTCCCTAAAATGCCATTGGTAATTGCTATTGGGCTACAAAGGTGACCTGAAGGCCTGTGAAAAGGGAGATGCGTGAGGACTTAGCATTCAAGCGGAATGTCGCCAAAAGAGATTATCCTCAGCAGAAAGAGAACCACCACTTGTTTCCGCCCGGTCTCGAACCGGGGACCTTTCGCGTGTGAGGCGAACGTGATAACACTACACTACGGAAACTGACGAAAGGCTTCTTGAGGTCATTCGTCACGCGGAAGACGGGGTTCGATTCCCGACGGGGGAAATATTCTTTCTACCAGCAGTCCCATTACTTGCCACTAAGGAGGTGCTTCACGCTATCCCTATCTCTAGCTGAGGTGAGGTGAGGAAAAGTTAACTCTCTGTATCGAAGGAGGAAAATTAAGGAAATGGGCAAGGAGAGAAATTCATACATGGTAGATAAAGAAATGAGAAATTGGCATTGTGAAGTGAATATTTTAGTCCTCTCAGCTGTACTTATCATCAAACCACACCATGGTTGACACAGTGCTCCAAACATTGTGAGGTTGCCTGAGTATCGATTCCAGACGGGAGAATATTCTTTCTACAACAGTCCCATTACTTGCCACTAAGGAAGGTGCTTCACACTAGCTATCTCTAGCTGAGGTGAGGAAAAGTTAACTCTCTGTACTCGAAGGAGGAAAAATTAAGGAAACGGGCAAGGAGAGAAATTCATACATGGTAGATAAAAGAAATGAGAAATTGGCATTGTGACAGTGAATTTTTTAGTCCTCTCAGCTGTACTTATCATCAAACCCCACCATGGTTGACACAGTGCTCCAAACATTGTGAGGTTGCTGAGTATTGGACTGGGCACAGTCTGATTGTTATACTCTAGCAAGCTCAGAGCGACAGACAATATTTGGACTCGACGAGCTTTGAAGGACATCCTGGCTATGACTACGTTTCTGTGTGCTGGTCATCTATAAAGTGTGACTAGCTACTCGAGACACCAGCATGGAGTTGGGGTGGAGCGATTACATTTACACTTGATTGCTCCTGCGAATAAGCAGATATGTTCTGAGAGATTAACACAAAGCTATGTAGTGTCAGATGAGAGCATAGGTTCAGGTTTGCCTCCGGGAGATGCCAGCGCTCTTTTGCTCTCAACTTTGATGGACTTCTGCATATAAGCCAGGTCCTAAATGCATTGGTAATTGCTATTGGGCTACAAAAGGTGACCTGAAGGCCTGTGAAAAGGGAGATGCGTGAGAAATTGTCATTGTGAGTGAATTTTTTAGTCCTCTCAGCTGTACTTATCATCAAACACACATGGTTGACACAGTGTCCAAACATTGTGAGGTTGCCTGAGTATTGGACTGGGCAGTCTGATTGTTATAACTCTAGCAAGCTCAGAGCGACAGACAATATTTCTGGACTCGACACGAGCTTTGAAGACATCTGGCTATGACTACCGTTTCTGTGTGCTGGTCATCTATAACAGTGTGACTAGCTACTCGAGACACCAGCATGGAGTTGGGGTGGAGCGATTACATTTACACTTGATTGCTCCCGCAATAAGCAGATATGTTCTGAGAGATTAACACAAAGCTATGTAGTCATCAGATGAGAGCATAGGTTCAGGTTTGCCTCCGGGAGATGCCAGGTCTTTTGCTCTCAACTTTGATGGACTTCCTGCATATAAGCAGGTCCTAAAATGCCATTGTAATTGCTATTGGGCTACAAAGGTGACCTGAAGGCTGTGAAAAGGGAGATGCGTGAGACTTAGCATTCAAGCGGACATGTCCGCCAAAGGAGATTATCCTCAGCAGAAAGACAACCACCACTTGTTTCCGCCCGGTCTCGAACCGGACCTTTCGCGTGTGAGGCGAACGTGATAACCACTACACTACGGAAACTGACAAAAGGCTTTTCGTGTCAATCGTCAGGTAGTCGACCCGACCCGAAGTTGGACAGGCTTTCCTCAGGTTCAGACCATCAGCCCGTTCACAACCAAAAGTGACACACAGAAGTCCTCTATAGTATAGTGGACAGTATCTCCGCCTGTCACGCGGAAGACCGGGTTCGATTCCCCGACGGGGAGAAATATTCTTTCTACCAGCAGTCCCATTACTTGCCACCTAAGGAAGGTGCTTCACGCTAGCCCTACTCTCTAGCTGAGGTGAGGTGAAAAGTTAACTCTCTGTACCTCGAAGGAGGAAAAATTAAGGAAATGGGCCAAGAGAGAAATTCATACATGGTAGATAAAAGAAAAAGAGAAATTGGCATTGTGACAGTGAATTTTTTAGTCCCTCTCAGCTGTACTTATCATCAAACCCCACACCATGGTTGACACAGTGCTCCAAACATTGTGAGGTTGCCTGAGTATTGGACTGGGCACAGTCTGATTGTTATACTCCTAGCAAGCTCAGAGCGACAGACAATATTTCTGGACCTCGACACGAGCTTTGAAGGACATCCTGGCTATGACTACCGTTTCTGTGTGCTGGTCATCTATAACAGTGTGACTAGCTACTCGAGACACCAGCTTGGAGTTGGGGTGGAGCGATTACATTTACCACTTGATTGATTCCTGCCGCAATAAGCAGATATGTTCTGAGAGATTAACACAAAAGCTATGTAGTCGTCAGATGAGAGCATAGGTTCCAGGTTTGCCTCCGGGAGATGCCCAGCGCCTCTTTTGCTCTCAACTTTGATGGACTTCCTGCCAGGTAAAATGCCATTGGTAATTGCTATTGGGCTACAAAAGGTGACCTGAAGGCCTGTGAAAGGAGATGCGTAGAAATTGTCATTGTGACAGTGAATTTTTTAGTCCCTCTCAGCTGTACTTATCATCAAACCCACACCATGGTTGACACAGTGCTCCAAACATTGTGAGTTGCCTGAGTATTGGACTGGCACAGTCTGATTGTTATACTCTAGCAAGCTCAAGACAGACAATATTTCTGACCTTGACACGAGCTTTGAAGACATCCTGCTATGACTACCGATTCTGTGTGCTGTCATCTATAACAGTGTGACTAGCTACTCGAGACACAGCATGGAGTTGGGTGAAGCGATTACATTTACCACTTGATTGCTCCCTGCACTTTCATGACTTCCTGCATATAAGCCAGGTCCCTAAAATGCCATTGGTAATTGCTATTGGCTACAAAAGGTGACCTGAAGGCCTGTGAAAAGGGAGATGCGTGAGGACTTAGCATTCAAGCGGACATGTCGCCAAAAGAGATTATCCTCAGCAGAAAGAGAACCACCACTTGTTTCGCCCGTCTCGAACGGGACCTTTCGCGTGTGAGCGAACGTGATAACCACTACACTACGGAAACTGACAAAGGCTTCTTAGGTCATTCGTCACGCGAAGACCGGGTTCGATTCCCGACGGGAGAAATATCTTTCTACCAGCAGTCCCATTACTTGCCACCTAAGGAAGGTGCTTCACGCTATCCCTACTCTCTCTAGTGAGTGAGGAAAAGTTAACTCTCTGTACCTCGAAGGAGGAAAATTAAGGAAATGGGCCAAGGAGAGAAATTCATACATGGTAGATAAAAGAAAATGAGAAATTGGCATTTGGACAGTGAAATTTTAGTCCTCTCAGCTACTTATCATCAAACCCCACACCATGTTGACACAGTCTCCAAACATTGTGAGGTTGCCTGAGTATCGATTCCCAGACGGGAAAATTCTTTCTACCAAGCAGTCCCATTACTTGCCACCTAAGGAAGGTGCTTCACGCTAGCCCTACTCTCTAGCTGAGGTGAGGAAAAGTTAACTCTCTGTACTCGAAGGAGGAAAAATTAAGGAAACGGCCAAGGAGAGAAATTCATACATGTAGATAAAAAAAATGAGAAATTGGCATGTGACAGTGAATTTTTAGTCCCTCTCAGCTGTACTTATCATCAAACCCCACACCATGTTGACACAGTGCTCCAAACATTGTGAGGTTGCCTGAGTATTGGACTGGCACAGTCTGATTGTTATACTCCTAGCAAGCTCAGACACGACAATATTTCTGACCTCGACACGAGCTTTGAAGGACATCCTGGCTATGACTACCGTTTCTGTGTGCTGGTCATCTATAACAGTGTGACTAGCTACTCGAGACACCAGCATGGAGTTGGGTGGAGCGATTACATTTACCACTTGATTGCTCCGCCGCAATAAGCAGATATGTTCTGAGAGATTAACACAAAGCTATGTAGTCGTCAGATGAGAGCATAGGTTCCAGGTTTGCCTCGGGAGATGCCCAGCGCCTCTTTTGCTCTCAACTTTGATGGACTTCCTGCATAAGCCAGGTCCCCTAAAATGCCATTGGTAATTGCTATTGGGCTACAAAAGGTGACCTGAAGGCCTGTGAAAAGGGAGATGCGTGAGAAATTGTCATTGTGACAGTGAATTTTTTAGTCCCTCTCAGCTGTACTTATCATCAAACCCCACACCATGGTTGACACAGTGCTCCAAACATTGTGAGGTTGCCTGAGTATTGGACTGGGCACAGTCTGATTGTTATACTCCTAGCAAGCTCAGAGCGACAGACAATATTTCTGGACCTCGACACGAGCTTTGAAGGACATCCTGGCTATGACTACCGTTTCTGTGTGCTGGTCATCTATAACAGTGTGACTAGCTACTCGAGACACCAGCTTGGAGTTGGGTGGAGCGATTACATTTACCACTTGATTGATTCCTGCCGCAATAAGCAGATATGTTCTGAGAGATTAACACAAAGCTATGTAGTCGTCAGATGAGAGCATAGGTTCCAGGTTTGCCTCCGGGAGATGCCCAGCGCTCTTTTGCTCTCAACTTTGATGGACTTCCTGCATATAAGCCAGGTCCCCTAAAATGCCATTGGTAATTGCTATTGGGCTACAAAGGTGACCTGAAGGCCTGTGAAAAGGGAGATGCGTGAGACTTAGCATTCAAGCGGACATGTCCGCCAAAGGAGATTATCCTCAGCAGAAAGAGAACCACCACTTGTTTCCGCCCGGCCGTCTCGAACCGGGGACCTTTCGCGTGTGAGGCGAACGTGATAACCACTACACTACGGAAACTGACAAAAGGCTTTTCGTGGTCAATCGTCAGGTAGTCGACCCGACCCGAAGTTGGACAGGCTTTCCTCAGGTTCAGACCATCAGCCCGTTCACAACCCAAAAGGTGACCCACAGAAGTCCTCGTTAGTATAGTGGACAGTATCTCCGCTGTCACGCGGAAGACCGGGGTTCGATTCCCCGACGGGAGAAATATTCTTTCTACCAGCAGTCCCATTACTTGCCACCTAAGGAAGGTGCTTCACGCTAGCCCTACTCTCTAGCTGAGGTGAGGTGAGGAAAGTTAACTCTCTGTACCTCGAAGGAGGAAAAATTAAGGAAATGGGCCAAGGAGAGAAATTCATACATGGTAGATAAAAGAAAATGAGAAATTGGCATTGTGACAGTGAATTTTTTAGTCCTCTCAGCTGTACTTATCATCAAACCCCACACCATGGTTGACACAGTGCTCCAAACATTGTGAGGTTGCCTGAGTATTGGACTGGGCACAGTCTGATTGTTATACTCCTAGCAAGCTCAGAGCGACAGACAATATTTCTGGACCTCGACACGAGCTTTGAAGGACATCCTGGCTATGACTACGTTCTGTGTGCTGGTCATCTATAAGTGTGACTAGCTACTCGAGACACCAGCTGGAGTTGGGGTGGAGCGATTACATTTACCACTTGATTGATTCCTGCCGCAATAAGCAGATATGTTCTGAGAGATTAACACAAAGCTATGTAGTCGTCAGATGAGAGCATAGGTTCCAGGTTTGCCTCCGGGAGTGCCAGCGCCTCTTTTGCTCTCAACTTTGATGGACTTCCTGCATATAAGCCAGGTCCCCTAAAATGCCATTGGTAATTGCTATTGGGCTACAAAAGGTGACCTGAAGGCCTGTGAAAAGGGAGATGCGTGAGGACTTAGCATTCAAGCGGACATGTCCGCCAAAGGAGATTATCCTCAGCAGAAAGACAACCACCACTTGTTTCCGCCGGTCTCGAACCGGGGACCTTTCGCGTGTGAGGCGAACGTGATAACCACTACACTACGGAAACTGACAAAGGCTTTTCGTGGTCAATCGTCAGGTAGTCGACCCGACCGAAGTTGGACAGGCTTTCCTCAGGTTCAGACCATCAGCCGTTCACCCAAAAGTGACACCACAAAGTCGTCGTTAGTATAGTGGACAGTAATCTCCGCCTGTCACGCGGAAGACCGGGGTTCGATTCCCCGACGGGAGAGAAATATTCTTCTACCAGCAGTCCCATTACTTGCCACCTAAGGAAGGTGCTTCACGCTAGCCCTACTCTAGCTGAGGTGAGGTGAGGAAAAGTTAACTCTCTGTACCTCGAAGGAGAAAAATTAAGGAAATGGGCCAAGGAGAGAATTCATACATGGTAGATAAAAGAAATGAGAAATTGGCATTGTGACAGTGAATTTTTTAGTCCCTCTCAGCTGTACTTATCATCAAACCCCACACCATGGTTGACACAGTGCTCCAAACATTGTGAGGTTGCCTGAGTATTGGACTGGGCACAGTCTGATTGTTATACTCCTAGCAAGCTCAGAGCGACAGACAATATTTCTGGACCTCGACACGAGCTTTGAAGGACATCCTGGCTATGACTACCGTTTCTGTGTGCTGGTCATCTATAACAGTGGTACTAGCTACTCGAGACCCAGCTTGGAGTTGGGGTGGAGCGATTACATTTACCACTTGATTGATTCCTGCCGCAATAAGCAGATATGTTCTGAGAGATTAACACAAAGCTATGTAGTCGTCAGATGAGAGCATAGGTTTCCAGGTTTGCCTCCGGGAGATGCCAGCGCCTCTTTTGCTCTCAACTTTGATGGACTTCCTGCATATAAGCCAGGTCCCCTAAAATGCCATTGGTAATTGCTATTGGGCTACAAAAGGTGACCTGAAGGCCTGTGAAAAGGGAGA